CGCCCCGCCCCCTCCATTTGCCTCGTTTGTCGCACGCACGCAGTCCACTCCTAATTAATGAAGTTGTACCCTGCGCTCCACGCCGCGCCGTGACGCCACTCCACGCTACGCCACGCCACGCCACGCCACGCCACTACTCCACACCGCGCCACTCCGTTCTCCGAAAAGGGATTCCCCGTCAAGAGCAGGGGGGTTGGACTGGCGGCGGGGCCCGACCGCTGCGCCAACCGCGCTCAACGAAATCCCCTCCCCCCTCCCCCTCATTCCGCCCCTTAGGAAACTTTTCAAGTTGCCAGTCATCCTTAATCAATTTCCACTAGTTAGTCAACGACCTGTTTTCATTTATCGACACCCCCTCCCCACCACGATTGCTATTTTCGCTATGGCTCGTGCTCCGGGAGGGGGTAGGGGGGGGATCCAAATATTATGACCTTCTCGGTAGGTTTCAGGGGCACCACTGTAGCTCATTGGAACTCCCATGCTTTTTAAAAATTACCCTGGGGATCAAGTACCACGTGGCGTCTCTATTGAGCGCCAATTTTGGTCCCGAACCTACCGAGTGGGCCACGATATTTGTACCCACCGTATTGTGTGCGCGATCCCTAACGAACGCCGCGCATCGCGGCCGCATTTCCGCCCCAGCCCTGCCGCACAATAACTCGCGCACCGCGCACCGCACAGTGGCGTTGCTCATCATGACACCCCCCACCTACCCCCTCCCCTCCGCCTTCCCCCTGGCACGCCGTGATCACCCTGCATCACCAAGCCGGCTGCCGGAGCAGGTCGCAGGTCAGCAAAAAAGCCTTCCTCTTTGTCATTGTGATATATGGTGTGTGTTACTTAAAAGACAGAAAAAGGCGGCAACTTTTCTAGAGATTATTGCTAAATGATGCATCGCTTTTCGGTGGCGGCAGGTAGGGCAGATCACGGCAATGTTGTTACGGCTCTGACAGTGAAGAGTGAGAGTCTACCCTCGCTCTTACTGGAAGGACTGTGTTATCCCTCCCGGTCTCCCTTACAGTACCTTTCATGTATGTAAGTACGCCATACTCTGAGAGTTTCGACGCGGCTCAGTTACGCCTCCGCGTCCCACTACTAGCCATCCCTCTCCAGGCATTCGCGTGGAGTTGATATCGGCGCAGGGCAATTCATGGCTGGCTCAAGTAAAGTTTTTATCTCGAGCAGGCGGGGCTAGGGCAGAGAGAGGGAGAGTCGGGAGAGTAGAGAGGGGGGAAGGAGAGAGAAAGAGAGAAAGGGAGAGAGAGAGAGAGAGAGAGAGAGAGAGAGAGAGAGAGAGAGAGAGAGAGAGACCTTGCACATGGTAGCGGCATAAAATTTATGTTGGTTTTCTTTTGGGTCCCGAGTTAGGCAGGTTTTCCTCTAGCGGGCGACCTACCTCCGCATTCCCAGAGGAGGAGCAATCACACAGTTAAAGTCTTACGAAGCAAAATGCCAAATGCTTCGTACCTACGAAGGATTTGCTCCCTACGAAGCGTCCGAATCCTTCGTATTACAAAGGATTTGGCATTTTTCTTCGTAAGACTTTAACAGTGCAGAATTAGAGCTGGACGATCGAACTGGGTCGCTGCGTGGCGGGGCGAGGCGAGGCGTGGGCTGACGACGCTGCGCCGGTATGACTGGCCACCGTCCAATCCGAGAATGCGAATATGAGCAGTGCGGTGGGGTTGGGGTTGGGGTTGGTATGGGATGGGCACCCCGCCCGGCCTAGACTTGACTAGGCGCGTGCGGTCGCGGACTCGGCAAAAGCGGGGCGGGGCGGGGCGGGGCGGGGCGGGGCTCCTCGCGCTCCGCTAAGTGAATTACTGCGTATAACAAGGAGCAGGGTTGCGCTGGTGGGGTCTCGCGGACGAGCCGGGCCTCCTCTGCAGGCGCCTCGCGGAGCCCGGCCGCGGCGATGGGGGCCCCAGGGGGTTCCACCGCAGCCGCGGGGGCCGCGGCTGCGCACCGCACACACAAACTCGCCAACTCGATAACCATTGGGGGGAGGCTTTTGGGCAAGGTCAGGGGGCAACATTGTGCCTTTGGAGCCAAGTTCGCGAGGGCCGCGCCCACCCCGGGGAGCCAAAGCCACGCGTGCAGTGACTGAAACAGAAAGATTAAATCATAGCTGAACTTTCAGGGACAATGTAAACAAAGGGATGGCCTCAGCGGCTCATACCCTTTTATTTGATAAAGTGAGCACTTTTTTTAGTCAGTTCCCGAGACTGTCTCTACCAGAAGACAAAGCCCTCCCCGCCTCCTCTCCGCTCCCCCTTCTCGCAATCTACAGCGCAGAGCGTACGCCTGGCGTGCGTCATTTTGTTTGTATGTGCGTTTGGGCACCGCTGCCCCCTCCCCGCAGGAGGCGGGCGGATGGGAAGCCAGGGGAAGGGGGTGGGGGGAGGTCACTAGCTTCGACTGGAGCATCTACTTGAGCTGTGCGAAAACCTGAGGTAGGGCTTTGTGGCCTGATCGGGGGGACTATCTATTTCTTGTCCCTGTGAGCTT